TGTGTGTGTGTGTGTGTGTGTGTGTGTGTGTGTGTGTGTGTGTGTGTGTGTGTGTGATAACACAAACTATAGAAATCAAAGCCTTTAAACGGTCTAGCTGAATCTTAATGCTTCTAGTATTAAGATCCAGCTAAACCGTTTAAAGGCTTTGATTTAAAAAATTAAGTATTTTTATTATTATCATAAATCCAATTTGTAACTTAGCATTCATTATTTCTATTGGTATTAAACTTTAATTAGATATATATAACAGAAAAACAGACGATAAACAAAGATTTTTAGAAATTATTAAAAAAACCTTTTTTTTATCGCTTAAGTTTTAATACCATTTGGAGAACGTAAACTATCTTTTTCAATACATAATTTTTTAAGCTTAGAGAGTACGGAAATAAGCTCTGCCTGTGTATTTGCTATCTTTGCAGCAAGATAGATAGATTCCTGGAAACGCTTCTGACTATTTTTCAAGTTTTGTGGAACTAATACACCAAACCATTTTATAGGATCTTTCGGTCCATCTGCGTCATCGCTTAATTTTTTTAAACTGATGTCAAAACATGGCTCAGTATCATTATCTTCATTTATTGTTTTAGTCTCTAAATCAAACAAGGATGTCACTGTATCTTCATTATTTGGAACTTGTAACATACTGATATTTTCCTTTCCACGAATATATTTTGCTTTTGCCAACTCAATGTGGCCATCCTTCAGCAATGTTTCCATTTGAATATTTCCTTGAACTTTTTCTTCGATTAGTTCTAATTTACGTAACATCAATTCATCAATCTCTTCTGATAAAACATCTATGTTTTTACTCATACTGTAATCTGTAATTATTGCCACAAAAATTTATAACAATATATGTACGACGAAATTTTATCTGAAATAAAAATATCGAAGATTATATATATAATATAAAATATTATTGATGTACAAATATTCATTTATTATTAAAGAAATAAATATAAAAGATAAGTAATTTATATAAAGAGGTATAGCTATTATTTAAGTATACCTAATTTTATCAATATTTTGGAGGTGAGATAACTAAATTAATTCCCAAAAATATATATTTTATGTATTATCTATCTTATATCAAACAACTTACATATACATTGATTACTATTTAAAAAATATCGTCTTAACCTATTTTGAAAGTAACGTTCCAAATATCTTATTTCGTAAACGAATTCAATTTGTTTCTCCAATCTTTTGTATTCCTTGAAAGAGGTTCAACCAAACTCTCACATTATATTTATTCCAAATCAAGTGATATTAAGATTATTCTCGACTATATATATCGAGGTATTGTTGCACTAGCAGAAGCACTTTTATAATAGCAAATGAAATCGTTCTCTCTTACTTCTCGCTCTCATCTCTCTCGATCTACACTATAGCGTAACTGGATTGCAGATAATTTTATTTATTATTTTAAGTAGATGAGTTTTGAAGATCAATTACACAAAATTTGGTTTTTTAACAGCTTTTTTTACTTTACGTAGAAAATAAGTTGAAAAAGTATCAAACAAAATATTTCTTTTACGAGATATAAAATTATAGTAGAGTCTGTATGTTATGTATCTGCACCGATTGCACTACGAATAAGGTGCAAAGTGAATGTGCTTTGGTCGAGTGTTGCAAAACTTTCAGCAAAATTCGACAAAACTAATTGACTTTTAGACTTTTTAAAAGAAAGATATATAAGATAAAAAAAGATTAAGAAATAAAAATATATTAGAATTTGAATAATAAAGCATTATAACCTCAAAAGAAGACTAAAGACGATCAACCGATGGAAATAAACTCCGTATTTTTTTGAGGAATATTAACAAGTATCATATAAACATGAATACACCTGTATTAACAAAAAAGCAGCAGAGGCACAGCTTATCAGCTAAAACAGGGCCTATTAGGGGTTTACGGAATATTTTGGCACAACCTACTCAAAATTTCTGGTATTTTCACATGATGTTAATTTTGGAGCATTTTCCATTTGTTTTAATAATTTGATGTAACAGTATTAAACATTTAATTAAAGATGAACATTTATTTATAAACATTGTTTAAGCTAACATTTTATTAAAGATGATTGCAGTTTGTACTTATTTTTGTGAAATGTTTTCTTAGGCCAATTATCAATGTAGATCAATATCCGGAGTTGATGACAAACTTAAATACGTAAGTATGTGATTTAAAATATAAATAATCTTAAAAAATATCATTTTTAATCATTGTAGAAATGTTTTATAGGATATTACCATCAATAAAAAAATCTAATTGTAAAATTCCTAAGGATATGCTTAAAAACCTAACAAAAAAAGATCGTGCATTAGCTAGGAAAAAAATGTTACATGAGGCACCTCCAAAACCAGATATACTGTAAGTACGATTTCCATTATATAGTTGTAAATAGTTTAAAATTTAGCTATTTTATCTGATTTATAAATTTTAGGAAATTCATGGTTATAGGTATTAATGAAGTTACTCGAGCCTTAGAAAAGGATAATGTATGTAGCGTCTTATTAGATGCTAATACTGACCCGCTTATACTAATAAAACATATTATTTCGATGGCAGTGAACAAAAAAATACCTGTTCTAATGTTACCCATGTTGAGAACAGTCACAAAAGAAAAAGGATTTCCCTCAAGAGTTTTTGCTTTAAAGGTAATATATTAATATTTTATCATTTTAAATATATTTTTGTAGATATTTCTTAAAGATTTATGATTTCTTACAGCAAGAGGTAATGCAATGTCCAAATAATGTTTACTATCCAATATACAAATCGATAGCAGAGGCTTTTAAAGACTTCGAGTTACCAGAATGCTTGCTTCAATGTTATAAACCAGATGAAGTATCTGATAAAAGCGGAATGTGTAAAACAGAGATCACAGAAAAGGATTCTGATACAAAGACAAATATTTCTAAGCCAGAAAAATCTGTTGCAGTATTTGCAGATGTGTATAAATACAGATCTTCACGAGATGAAAGAGTTTTCGTACCACCAACAATCAACAAAAGTTCTCAAGTCTCTCAAACACTATCAGATAACTTTATTCCTTCAGATAGTGATCTTGATACTGTCAATGATAAAAATTGTGCAATTATATCGAAGAATGAGAAATATGTAAATATCGGCAAGGAAGACAAATATTTACTCACATCCGAAAATACAGAAGAGAATCAGTCTTTTAATGAATTGAAATTAATAAAAAATAAAGCAGATTCAACGAAACAAACAAACATATTAAATTTTCAAATCTCTCAAAAATCAGATGATTTTATTCCTTTAAACAGTGATCTTGATTCTGTCATCGATAAAAATTGTGCAAGTACATCGAAGAATGAGAGATATGTAAATATCGGCAAGGAAAAAAAACGTACACTAAAATCTAAAAATACAAATGAGAATAATACACTAAAATATAAGGTAGATTCAACGAAACAAACAAAAAATATATTAAAAAGACCCAGAAATGAACCTAATTATTTATCATTAAAAATAAAATGTACACAAGGAAGTAAGAAACGAAAAAAAGCAACTAAATTTGCTAAAAAAAAAGGATAGGAACATTTGACAGTTTAGTGGAATAATTGTTCAGCAAGAACAAAAAATCTGGGTACAATTCTTAGTATTATTCTGCATGTGATATAGGATTTTGAATGGAAAAATAATCTATTGTGATGAATACAAGAATCAAAAATATAAATTAAATCCTAAGATATAACGTAATATTGGAAATAAAAAAAATATTGGAAAAAAATAAAATTTACATCGCCTTGAAAATCCAAATAACAATTACAATTCGTTTTCCAATCGTCTAAGGTGATCAAGTGTAATCATTTTTGTCTTCTTTCATGTTAGAAAATTGTCAATAAACGTTGTATTTGACATACAACTAGTTATTAGTAGTTAGTTAATAAATAAATTGCAACATTTGGAGCTGAAATTCATGCTTTAACTTCAAACGTTGGAATTTAGTTGTTAATTGCTCTCTAATTGAGTGTCAAAAATAAATTTTGTATAAAAAGAAAAATAGAACAAAAAATATGTATAGTAATAAAAATGTATTTTTAATTATTACATTATATACAAGAATTAACCCTATTTTTTCATTATCAATTTACTAATATAAATAATACAACTCAGTTAAAAAATTTCTGCCAATAACAAATTGTAATAAAAATATAGTAACCCCCCCATTTTTACACATAGTATATAAATTAATACATAGTATAAGATTAGAGTATATAAATTGTGTGTTGAATGTATGAAAACGAATTCAAATTTTTTCAAATTTAAGTTTTGTCTGTTAATTTTAATATAACTAGATATTAGATAAATGATAATTCATTTAATATCCATATTTTTCTCAATATAAACTTTATATGATGCTTTAAAAAAATTTGCAAAAGATGGAGATATTTGTTTTTCTTTTTATTATTATTAAAACAATAAAATATATTCTAAGCATAGTAATATCATCTCTCATACAGGTAAACTTGATTTTACGGACGATCTAAACACTCTTGTAAAGAACATAAGGCCAGTTGTACCTCCTGGTATATGACTTATTAAAAAGGACAATGTAGCTATCAACTGCAAGATAGCACATAATACTGTCAAAGGAGTCGATTGCAAATGCAGAGCAAAGTAAAGTGTGCCTGTTAATGTTGCAAAGTACAATATGGTAAAGTACTTCTTCTCAGCTAGGAATAATGATTTCATATAACTTGATCCCCACAAAAAACAAAAGCTGGAAGAAATCTTTTATTAGAAATATGATATTCTTTTCATATATATATATTCGTAGATATATCTCGTATTACTTTTTAAATATTTATATATGTACCTCATTAAAAAGAAGAGACTTCCTAAGGAATAAAGTAGAGCAAATTTTCTTGCTTTAAGTAATAATACAGGAATATAAATCGCTGATAGACAAAAGCATAACAATCCCAGAAAAAAACACACAGCAAAGGATATGAGTCTTTGTGTTCTCGTCTAACAAAGTAAAAAAAATGAATCTTTTATAAAAAGGTCCAATTCGAAGTTATTGATAATAGATTTTATTCAATAAGAATTATAGCATAAAGTTAGTTTTCTAATTTATTTAATTTTTATTTACCTATTTAACTTTTAAATATATTGATAGGAAATTTTTATTGATAACAATCAATAGTTCTTAACAAATTTACATAAACAAAAGTTGATTAAATTTGATTTCACAATTTTCCTACAGAAATACAAAAATATTTCAAACTACAAAAACGTAAAAAATACCAGATACAATATTACATATATTACAAATAAAGTTAACTTCGACTAAATTCAAATTAATCAGCGATTAATTCGATCAGTAAAATTTATCAAAGCACTGATTTCAACCATATAATTTGTCGACATTAGTCTAATTCTTTTTCCACTTGTGATATAATAAAAAAAATAGTTTTACATTTATAAAATACTATAGATATATACTTGACAGATTAATCGTTTGATTAAATGAATTTAGAGAGACAACGCCTTAAATTTTTAATGTTTAAGTTTAACATTACTGCTTTGCATTAATATTTTTTGAGTTCAATCAGAATTTTTAACATTTAATCAACATCAGTGCAAACATTCGTCGAGTCGTTAAGGTTATGAGACAGTGCCGTACCATAGCAGGACAACATTCTCTCTGCGATTTTTGAACCCATCCTACGTTCTCCTCCGTCTCGTCGATACTTTTTCCGAACCATTTGCCAAAGTTCGCTTTCGATATCGCTACCGATGGAATGGCGATTTTATATTGTTTTTCATTTTTGCTATTGAGAAGATATTCGTTCAGCTCCTTATTGAGATCGGCCATTTTGACATGTCGCCATATCGCGCCATTGAAATTGTAAACAATAAATAAAGTTATCGATTGTAAAAGAGAAATTGTTTTTATCAACGATAAGTATATGTATTAATCAGCAAACTGTTTTATCGAGTACAGCGACTTACTTTATCGATCGTACGCAGTTCATTATACGTCCGTCAAGGAGCTGATAGTACGAGATACAAAAATTGATTGGAAACAAATAGCGGTTGCATACAAAATTAAATACAAATAGCGTTTTCTCTTGGGATACACTGAATGCAGCTTTGCATTAGTTGCACTCAGATACATTACACTAGAGTGATGCACACCATGGTGTACACTACATCATTATTGCGCTAAAACTCTGTTCCCGCTTGACTTCTACTTTCAAATTTTAAATGTCACACTGACTGTACACCGTCCTTTTGAGACGTTGTAGCAAAATCCCACTTCGTGCATAAAATATGCACTACAACGTAGCCAGGGAAACACGGTACACTGAGTGTTGCACTAGTGAGCGATAATGCAGCCAAGAGAAAACGTTAAAGGTGATCAGACAAATTACATTTATACGATTTATTCCACTGGTTTCTATTCTCCATATATCTAGGATATGGTCTACTTGACGCTTCAAATGCTTCGAAGCATTTGTAGCTTTAAATGGTCCTAATCATTCGTAAATTCGATTTTTAGCCATAAATTTACATTTATATTTCGAACCTGATTGTAAAGAGAGCTTTGCTTTCACTGTTCTGAGCATAAAAAAAATATTTTATTTTTATTAGTAATTTTTAATTGTGACAAACTGTTGCGGCAATCAATTAGATAAATACTCTAAGTTAGAATGTATTATTATCAAGTTTTTAATTATATTATTTCCCTGTAGAGTTGTTCACACAATTAACAATTTAATAAAAA